CTACTATTAAGAATATTTATTATTGTCTGTCACTTTAAACTTTATAAAGTCTGAACATTAACACTGTACTGTGCTTATTTGTAAAAAAAACAAAAAAAAAACAAAAAAAAAGTCAACATTTAAATTAAAATGTTGTTTTAAAAGTACAAAATAGTAGGTTACTGTTCTTAAAAAAAAAAGAAAAACATTCCTGTACTTAAATGTAAAGTACTAACATATAGTAGCCAACTCGTCAACACCTGGAAATGTTGCCTGGATTTCAGAAATATAGGCTATATGTCATCATATATTTATATATAAATCATTTTTGATAAATTTTGAAATATATGTAGCATGTACACATGACATATTTGATTCCTTTGCGTACCACTAGAAGGAAACCTGCACACCACTAGTGGTACACGTACCACAGTTTGAGAACCACTGATCTAGAGCAAAAATGCTCAAACTAGGGCCCGTGGGCCAAAGTTGGCCCATTGTAACATTTGATTCGGCCCATCCCATCAGATAAGAGAGGGAAATTTTTGGCGAGGATTGGGGTTAATGCCTCAAATACATTGTCAATTCTAATTTTACGTAATGTAGTATTTGTTAGTTCTATTTTTAAGCAACAAAAATCAAACTTATTAAATTAATTACATAAGTAAATGTTTTATTTTAAAGTTAAAGGAATCCTTTTTAACTGAACATACTGTTGCTCAATGGAGACCCATTGAGTCTCAATTCAGAAGTCCTCAGTAAGCAAATAAAAGCAAAGGCAGGTGCAGCTTACTAGTGTATTCAGCATTAAACTCAATTGTGTTATAAATGAAATTCTTGTGTTTTGTGTTTTAATAGGTTCATTTATATATATATAATGATTTATACACACACACACACACAGAGAGAGAGAATGGATCATTTAAAATATATCAAAGTAAGGTTTTCTATTTATTTGTAAAACAGCTTTAAATGTTTAATTTGGCCCACAGCTCTTGATCCATTTTAATTTTTAGCCCTTCATAAGAAAAAGTTTGGGCACGCCTGATCTAGAGTTTATAATGCTCAAAATGAAAAAAGTTACTGATACCTAAGAAATCTAAAAAAAAAATGCACCTCACTAAACATTTTAATATTTCATAAACAAATATATGAAATTAGTCCTGGAGCAATACAGAAAGTAATAGGTCAAAAGCCACACATCTCCTGAGTATGTTTTGAATGTGATGGCAATATTATGCAAAATGACATTTCTGGAATTGTTTTATTATCTCTTATGATTTTCTCCTTCTTCTTGTTTTTGGAGAAGCAGTCTGATGAACATATGTACTGAAGGTTTCTAAACTATTTTAGTCTTTTCACATACCACTTCTTTTTTTAATGTTATCCTAAGTTTGTCCACAAGGTGGCTGTGAAGCCTCGTGACATTCAGTACATAAACACAATCAAACAAACGCATCCATGGGTTCATTTCTGACACTTACTGTAAGGTGTAAATTTCTATTAACAGTTCTAAAATATACATACTTGTATTCATCCACTGTAGGAGTGGCTATCGATTTTTAAATCAGCATTTAAAGTTTTATTTTAAACACGTCCACGCTTCTTAATAATAAATAAGTGCTAATCCTCCTAGCTGTAATTGTGGGTTCCCATCAAAAGTACAAAACATTTAAACTCTTTCGCTACTCGCAGCAATACACCTAAAGCTGGATTTATTTATAGAAAACAGCGCTCGGCAGAAGTGGCTGGACTCAGTAGTAACACCGCGTCTGCTTGAGTGCCACTCTTCCAGGAGAGAAACCTCCACATCACCATCAAACCCGCTTTACCAGAGCCCCGCCCCCTCTCTTTGTCAGCTGAATTAATTTGATACTATTTTTGAATTTCTGCGTTTCCCAGGGAAACCTAATGACGCAATGACGTCAATGCGGGTCAATAGCACAGCGATAGGCTGGTGGCGGGGAAAGCTGCGCTCTCCACCAACAGAAATGACACTGCTGTATCCAAGAAGCCCTGCTGTCCGTTCAATTAACAGTATGGCTGCAGAAATGAACAGCGACTGAACAGAAAGCAACGCGTTTTAAAAACGCACACCTGTCAGTGCCAAATAAAATGGTTAAGAAAGATGCGTGAATTCTTACCGTGAGCGCGCAGATCTGTCACACGCGGAACAACATCGCGTTTGACTATGTAAAACAAGTTTGCGGGACGCCAGCCCTCCTTTAACTTCTTACTTATCAAGTTTAACGTCTCCCCCCCCACCCCCAAAACACACTAGGAGCGCTGATATTTTCTCTGGGTATTTCTCTTCATTCAAAAAAAAAAGAAGAAAAAAAAAGAAAAGAAAGCGAGTGAGCTCATTCACGCAGTGAGCAGCGCTGTGGTCGAAATGCACGCGCACGTCTGAGTACTATGGTCTTGTCCAGATTCCTTTCTGAACACTGTGCGAACATCACTTTCCACCTCGAGAATACAAGCACGCGGTGAGTGATTTGACTTCTTTCCGTTTACCTTCTGAACTTTTGCGGGGTGTACATGACTTCAGTTTGGGTTTGCACTGATCGTTAATGAACTCGATGACAACTCGATTTGGATTGCATGTGCTTGCATGCCAGAAGATTAAAACTACATGGTAGCACGCTACTTCTGTGTGTTTGCACGATTGTAACACGTCCCGCTTTGTCATACGCGTCGAAATGTATTTTTTAATGACTTTTCATTGATCTCGATAGTTGTGAGAGTGTTATAATCGCAGGAGATGACTCGCCCTTGATATCATGCGGCTCTTTCACAACTTTAAATTCACTACTGCGATGTTCTCACAGAGTGCTGTTCTCATTGTTGCCGAGTGGTCACGATTCGCGCTGTTGTAACATTTATGAATCGCACTCACATCTCCGCTACACTTTCAGAGTCTGTGAGGTGCGTTTTAAAAAGAGCAAACATCCGGATCAAATAATGAAACTCTTTTCTTCAAGTCAGTCGTGTTCTTACTCAGTAGATGTGGAACGTGCATTTTTAAAAAATACTTTAGCAAATTACATCACTACGAAAATGCAACCTGGGATGTCTAGACTGCACACACTGAGAACAAAGAAACCCCCTATCCACTGTTCGTCCTATTGAAACGAGCGGGCGGCTGGTTCAGCACCACGGACAGCGACCACACGACTACTGCAGGCCTCGGCAACAGTATAGCAACAAGTTTACTGATGCATACACACGATGCAAGCAATGAATGTGTGCTGTTTTTTTTAGTTTCGTCAGTGTGCGAATCATACATCCCCATTTGGATTTTTAAATATAGCCCAGTGTCTCTTTGCATGCTGCGTCAGGTGTTTGCAAGGACTGATTAAACTCTGCGGCCTCAAACGCTGCAAGTAGGGCACCGAGCCCACCCTATACATCTTGGTCTTACAAAGCAGCATCCGTTTTTACAGTTTGTAATTGATTGTAGTGTTTGTATGGATGAGCTTTGGGATAAATTGTTTTTGATAAAGTCTTTTTGATGAACGGCCTAAATCGTGGCTTGATTCTTTCGTAAAATCGTGATCAGGTGGATTTACGTGAGGCCTATGATCCAGATTTCACTGGCAACGCCTGCTCGCTTTGCATCATCATCATCATCCGCTGTTGAAACAACCTTTATATGAGTCTCTGTGTCAGGTTTTGTTGCATGTAGTCTGGTTAGAACTGCGTGACTTTGAGTAAGCTAAGATTAGAAACAGTCGTGTTTTATGTGTCCTTCTGTTTTCAAGAAAGAGTTTAATCCGCGTGTCTGCTCTTGCTCTCTCGCTGACAGAACGGATGTGTTTATGTGCTGTGAACTCACTTCTCCTGCTATAAAAAAAAGTTTACATTTGTCTAACATATCAGGCATTTGTCACACTGTCGCCTTAAACGAGAAACGGCCACCGAATCCAGCAGTAATGTCTTTCATTTAGGGATCGGCGAAAGGAGGAGAATATATGAGCGTGACGTCAATGCAACTGACGCAGCTCTGGATAAAGGAGAATACAGAAACACATATTCTACAAACACATGCATAATGTATGTTTCTAGTTATTGTCAACAAATATTGTTCTATTATTAGCTCGTTAATTGGGGCGTAGCATCAATTCAGACCCTGCATCCATTCGAATAAAAGCAGAAAACGCAATTAGTAATTTCTTGAGGATGCCATGTCTCCAGACCCGCGCGTCACGATCCTTTACGCAAACAGGGTTGGAGAGTAGATGTGAACGCGCATGTCACGTACAATTCCTCTGAGGAGCGTTTGTGAGTGCCGTTTTTTCTCCAAGTGCTCTAAAAATAGTAACAGCTTGATCCAGAAATAGACAGGGGTATCACCCTTATATGCAGCCTTCGATTTGAGGCATAAAAACACACCAGGACGGCACGTTGTGTACTCTCGTTGTGTCCTTGTGTTATTGAACGCTTCATTCAGTTTACCGACACATGTATTTCTCTCATCGAGGGCTCCCTCCACCGGCGAGACCCTTCTCGCTTTCCCGGTGACCTCGGTGGCATGTTCTGGCTTGAAAAAGGCTTTTCTGGACGCTTCTGTATATGGTCACTTAATTCAGCACGCGTGGGTTTGGTTATTGCACGCATCAAGTCCAGGGAATCACCCCGTCTACATTCACTGAATGAAGATGAAGGATGATCTCACAGGAGCTTGATTTAACCACGGAAGCACTCAAATATGAAAACAAAGGTCGTGCTGGACGAGCTCCTTGAATAACATAATAAACGTTTTTATCATTCGTGCTTGCTATCATATGACGAAGCCTCTATGATGCAGAGGAGCCGTCCGCCACGACTGCTGCTGAAAATCGTGCCATTTCGTCGATGGCCCTTAAATTGAAGCTTCGCCATTGGCATAACGACCATGAAAGCCTTACATTTGACAACGTTATATATAGGCTAGTTCAATCAGGTTCTTTAGATTATTAAATGCTGGACAACTGTTATTTTAGAGAACAAAAAAAAAAGGTTGTTCTGTGGCATCACTGAAGAATAAACCCTTTATGGAAAGAGTGGAAATCACACGACACAGCCTCTACAATTCATAGGAGCTGTCCATCACCGGTGGTGCTGAAATGTATGCCATTTCACTCACAACCTTCACTCAAACTATAGCGGCCGCTCCAAGGATACACTCATTCCAGATCTTAACCGATGAGTAAAGCTGCCCTTTCGTGGCCTCCGTCGTGTGGAAAGTTGGAATCATCTGGAAACAGCACTTGTGCCTGTGCGTCACACGCTGAAAACTGCGCATCTGAAAAAAAAATCCTCAATAATTCACAATATCACATGCGTTTAATAATTAATTTCCTGCACGACTTTAAGGTTAGTCTGGTAACCCTGCTGAGAACACCATCTTGAACCAGCCTAAGATGGTTGGTTCGCTGGTCTGGATTAAACATGACCGAATTGATCTTCCGTCCTGATCCAAATCTAAACTGGAACCCCTCTAAGAGCAACCCATTAGAAACAAAGGCACCTCGAGATCACGTCAGTGGTGACACCCTTTTTTAAGGAATACCCTCAGTGTTGGTGTATTAGCCAAAGCGTCAAATCTAGATTTGTAAACAATCCGGTTTGTTTATAGAGCCAAACGCGTGGTCTGTGCAAAACCAGCTCGTCAGACTAAACACGTAACTGCAAAATCTCGGTCATGCATATGGTTTATGTTCATCACTTCAAAGACCAATCAATTCTTCGCGTTTGCCAAACGCATGAAGTGGGTAAGAGCCCAGCGCTGCTTGGTAATTCGTTTTTGGCGTGCGCTTTCATCGGAAACAGCACAGATTGGCGAGTCGTGACTGCTAAAGTGAGTAATGCGCGTCGGCTGCGTCAGTAGGGGCAAAGCGCTGGGTGCCGGAGACAGATGGAGGGAATCGTGACTGACTGGAGACTTCCACAAATGAAACCACAGCCTCATCATGTCTCCACGAGAGAGCTATCTGTTAAATGTTAGGGTCTCGCTGTTCTCCCCCGTCACTCTCAGTTCTGACCTTGGAATCCGGAGGCGATTCTACACATTCACAGAAATGCGACTTTGAGTGTCGGGCTCTCCAGTTAGCGAGTTGATGCGTGCGTGTGCATGTGTGCTCGTGCTTGTGAGGTTATTTTATGGTTGTGTATGTGTGTGTGTGCGTGCGCGTGCGTGCGTGAGTGAGATGTGTGGGGTATCCAAATATAGCCAGACTCTGAGAATGATGTTCATTATTTTATGAGACAAGGAAAGAAGAAAGCTTTGGTGGCTGCAGACCTTGTATACACGAATCTCGGGGAACTTGTGGTAAGTGTCCAGATGGATCATTTTGTTTCTAATAGCGCACTGTTTGATTTGGTGAGATGCGTTTTGAATACGAATGGATCATTCCATATGCTTTGAGTAAATACTCTTCTTACTGATTAACCCTCCGGAATCCAAATACGAACTAAAATTTAATAAAATAATATAACAACCCTTGCGTTATTAGCTAAACGGACGCGCGTTCGGGTGAAGAAAGCGCGCTTCGCAAAAGGCAACGACGACGCACATTTATTAAACGCATTTCGCACACCGGTGGAGAATTAGTTTTGTATATTTTTCCTTTTTTCAAAAAGGGGGGTCCCTGAGTGAGAAGAGCACGGATTGGTCGAATGACGAGGTTTCCTATGCTCCAATGAAATCCTTCACTGCTCTCTATTTACTGTGAGCTGGAGCGCAGTAATTCCCCTCCTTCAACAGATCTATCGACTGACAGGAGTAGATCAGCTTTTTGCTGAACCACATCACGAACAGGAGAATATGTACAGTATGGCCATAGGAACGGCACCAGAGCACGGATAAAATGACGGCGCGCGGGCACGGACTGGCAAGGACTCGCGCACCAGAGCGGATTCTGTGCATTTCTCCGCGAATGAGTAGAACTGGAGTCTACTGCACACGATCCGGCCATTGGCTGTACAACAACATGGACTGACAGTGATTATGGACCAAGCCTGCAACTCAGATGCCACGTTCAAAGCGTATGGAAAAGTCTTTCACGAATCTTTTTGCGGTCTGGGCTTGCTGTTCTCAACTATCAATGGGAAGCCCTTACCCCAAAAAGCATTTGCGGAGGGCGCACACGGCGAATGACAGAAGAAAGCTCTCTTATTTCTGCTCCTCTTGGATACCATCATTGCCAGAATGGCACACGTTGCAATTCTCACACAAGTTATTATGCTGTTTTTCTTTCACTGGGGAAAAATTGCGTTTGTTCACTATTTTCATTTTGTTTATTATCTAAGTCTGGCACCCCCATTCAATGGCTCCAACCGCGCCTCACGAGTTTAACGTGTGATTTATTCCTGTATATTAAGAGTAACGGTTGGGGACTGCATGCTTACTAAAACTAACGTAAACGATGCAATACTTGACTTTTTAACCATGTGAATGAACAGCAGAATTGAAGCACAAATGCAATAAAAAAATATTACATCTGGATCGTGACATCTTATTTGGAGTTTTGCAGAGACGCAGCCGACGAGCGCGCGCAGGTGCTGTTGCATATACGGCTCGAAGTGTGTTCGCAGAGTTTACATACGATTGATAAACACGACTCCAGTGTGTTTCAATGGAAACAGAGTACTCACTAGCAACCGATGTATGGACGGGAGGATTTCTGAATGACTAAAATCACGCGTGCTCACTATAAAAACATATGATGTTGACTTGGAATCAGAATATTGGGCTGTTAGTGTCACGTGCTCAAAAATAAACTTGTTCACACGTAACACATTAAAGATGAATTCCATACACACAGATAAGAGAAACTTCATATTCCATTCTGGAAATTAGATTCATTTACACTCCAACACAAATGTATAAAAGTATTATCATGGTCATATCACGTTTGCACAGGTTGTTTTAATGGTATAATAGTCAGTAAATATGCAAAGCAATACAAAAGTGCAAATTAAAAATGCACAACCAAAACAAAAGTTGAATCAAAGATTACATTTTATGATGCTTCGAGATCTCCAAAAGCATATATGTTTATGCGTTTTGAAAGGATTGCATAATAATGTGAGACCGGTTGTTTTATATAATGCTGGACATTTAAACGGACAGCATCATAGACGACAGGACTACATAATTCATCTATTTAATTACAGTAGTATGCCTGTTTAATGGACTTTTCCATTCTGTGGGCGTTCTGTGGTTTGCAGATTTATGTGATACATACAGATTCAGCAGTTATAGGTGTTGCATGATTGTAAGGCGCTTTCCTAATATGTTCTCTATTCTCTATTTGTCACAGTCAACAGATAAATTCCCTAACAACAACATTAGTAAATATATATTTATATCTTCCCTTTTTCAAAGACAAAACTCTGCTGCCTCACGTTCAGGCCTTTTCCCGTTCCCATTTCATTTCCAGTCACGCTCTCTAATCAAGCAGAAAAAAAAACACATTCAAGTAACTCACTTTGTCCGGTCAAGTAAGTCAGTTTTACATAAAACTAATGTATAGCAACAATGCGTGTTCATTTGCGGGCAGGTTATTCCAGCCCCAGGGTCTCTGAGCTAAAACAGAAAAGCAGACAGGCACACACACAAACAGAGAGAGAGAGAGAAAGAATCCGAGTCAACAGATCAGGAGAGTCCATGCCTAAATAACAGATGCCAGGCACGTGAATAATGACATTTCTGTGTGTTTTCTCAAATGCCTTATATCATGTCATTGATTTTAGAGCTACTTCATGTCATATTTTGTATTATCTTGTAATCATGAGGCTCTAGATTATCACCAGATGCACATATTCCATTTTTAAACGTAATATTCATGTGTAACTGTTCAGTAAAACTAAAATGTGATGTGAGATTGGCTCTCGACGTGATGCGCTCACATCATGACCACCCTAAACCATGTGCACATACAGCGGATTGTTACTTTGCATTAGTTCATCACTGAGAAAATAAATCTTTACACATACAAGAGATATTTTCTGTCAGTGTGGTCATATATTTTAAAAGATGTGATGTTTTTGTTTTGGTAAACACACTATTTACCACACATTACGGTTAGAGATCAGGTGATTTTCGTGTTGTGCAGCTCAATGAATAGCTCTTTACGCTCATGAACTACTATAAATAATCAAGTCTTACAGAGTGTTTCGTAAAATAATTAATCATTTCAGATGCAAAGTTTCAGTTTGTGCATCATTGTGTGTTTTTTATTATTAGATGAGTAAGATCTGATTATAATATCTGGAAAGTGAATTATTAATTAAGCAAGGTTACATATTTGAATTCAGAAGGAAAAGGGGAGACAGCACTTTATAAAGATAAAGCTTTGAATCATGTTATGAATGAAAAGCTAAAAAGTTGTGTCCTTTTAAAACTTTTTTTTATATATAAAAATATATTAAAACTCAAATATAACGTGAGATTGACTCGTTCTCTGATTTTTTGTTGAACAGATGAAGCACTCATATCATAACCTCTGTAAGCCATGGACACAAACAATGGACTGTTACTTTCTATTAGTTTATCATTGAGAGAACAAACATTTTCAAAGCCGAGTGATGTTTCCATTCTTACTCATTTGATCATTGTGCTAAAATGTGTGGATGATCACACAGCACACCATTACAGGTAAAGCTCAGATGATTCTCGTGTTGTGCAGCTCAATGAATTGCTTTGTACGCTCATAAACTACTCTAAATAATCAAGTCTTTCAGAGTATTTTGTAAAAGAATAAATCATTTCAGATGCAGAGTTTGTTCATCATTGCATGTTTCTTATTGATGAGTAAGTTCTGATTATAATATCTGCAAAGTAAATTATTAATTAAGCAAGGTTACATATTTGAATTAAGAAGGAAAAGGGGATACTAAACATATACAGATATACAGTTTGCATCATGTTATGAATGAAAAGCCAATAGATTGTGTCATTTCCAAATGTTATTTAATATATTTAAATGTATATTTTAAAACTAAGATATAATGCGAGATTGACTCGCTGTCTGATTCTATGTTTAACATATGAGGCACTCATATCATAACCTCTCTCAACCATGAGCACAAATGGTGGATTGTTACTTTCTATTAGTTCATCATTTAGAGAAAATAAAAGACGAGTGATGTTTTCATTCTACCTCATTTTGTCAACATGCTAAAATGTCTGGAGGATCACACAGCACACCATTACGGTTAAAACCTGGGTGATTCTCGTGTTGTGCAGCTCAATGAATAGCTCTGTACGCTCATAAACTACTATAAATAATCAAGTCTTTCAGAGTGTTTTGAAAAAAAAAATCATCATTTCAGATGCAAAGTTTGTTCATCATTGCATGTTTTTATTGTTAGATGAGTAAGATCTGGGTTTAATATCTGCAAACTAAATTATTAATTAAGAAATGTAACATCCTTGAATTAAAAAGATAAAGGGGATACGGCACTTTAAACATACAGACATAGTTTTGCATCATTTTATGAATGGAAAACTAAAAGGTTGTGTCTTTTTCACATCTTTTCTTCTATATATATATATATTAATATTATATATATAATTATTTTGAAAATTTTGTTCTTTTACAAATATTTCCCAAATGATGATTAACAGAGCAAGGAAATTTTCACAGTATGTCTGATAATGTTTTTTCTTCTGGAGAAAGTCTTATTTGTTTTATTTCGGCTAGAATAAAAGCAGTTTTTAATTTTTAAACACCATTTTAAGGACAAAATTATTAGCTCCTTTGAGCAATTTTTTTTCTGAAAGTCTACTGAACAAACCATCGTCATACAATAGCTTGCCTAATTACCCTAACCTGCCTAGTTAACCTAATTAACATAGTTAAGCCTTTAAATGTCACTTTAAGCTGTATAGAAGTGTCTTGAAAAATATCTAGTCAAATATTATTTACTGTCATCATGGCAAAGATAAAATAAAATCAGTTATTAGACATTAATTATTAAAACTATTCTGTTTAGAAACGTGTTGAAAAAATATTCTCTCCGTTAAATAGAAATTGGGGAATAAATAAACAAGGGGGCTAATAATTCTGACTTCAACTATATATATATATATATATATATATATATATATTTATATATGTGTGTGTGTGTGTGTGTGTGTGTGTGTGTGACTCGTTTTCTGATACTATTTTTAACAAATAAGCACTCATATCATAACCTCTCTAATCCATGAGCACAAGCTGTGTATTGTTACTTTCTATTAATTCATCATTGGGAAAATAAATGTTTTTAAAGACGAGTGATGTTTTCATTCTCACTCATTTTGTCAACATGCTAAAATGTCTGGAGGATCACACGGCACACCATTACGGTTAAAACCTGCGTGATTCTCATGTTGTGCAGCTCAATGAATAGCTCTTTACCTTCATAAACTACTATAAATAACACACGTGCAGCTGATGATGTGACAATAAAATTGATTTGATTTGATAAATAATCAAGTCTTTCAGAGTGTTTCGTAAAATAATGAATCATTTCAGCTGCAAAGTTTCAGATTGTGCCTCACTGCGTAGTTTTTTATTGTTATAATATCTGCAAGGTAAATTATTAATTAGGAAGGAAGCAATCTTACATATTTGAATTAAAAAGGAAAAGGGGATACAGCACTTTAAATGTTTACAGATATTCAGTTTTGCATCATGTTATGAATAAAGAGCCAAAATGTTGTATCCTTTTCAAATCTTTTTTTTTTTATATATAAATATATTTTAAAACTAAAATATGATGTGAGATGGATTATTTAACAAACAATGCACACATATCCTAACCTCTCATGGGCTCAAGCAGTGGATTGTTACTTTCTATTAGTTCATCATTTAAGAAAAGTTTTTAAAGACGAGTGATGTTTTCATTCTCACTCATTTTGTCAATGTGCTTAAGATCAAACTAATTTGTTTGTTTTTGGTAAACACAACACACCATTACTGTCCAGATGATTGTCATGTTGCGCAGCTCAATGAATTGCTCTTTACAGACGTGAACTATACATAATCAAGTCTTTCAGAGTGTTTTGTAAAATAATTAATCGTTCAAGCTGCAAAGTTTCAGTTTGTGCATCACTGCATAGTTTTTTATTGTTATGATATCTGCAAGGTAAATTAATAATTAAGGAGGAAGCAATCTTGCATATTTGAATTGAAAAGGAAAAGGAGATACAGCACTTGTATGTATATGGATATACAGTTTTGCATCATGTTATGAATGAAAAGCCAAAAGTCTGTATCCTTTTCAAATCATTTTTTACATTTATATTTTAAAACTAAAAGATGGGATGTTTTTCCCAGTGTTGGGTTGCGGCTGGAGTGGCATCCGATGCGTAGAACATATGCTGGATAAGTTGGTGGTTCATTCTGCTGTGGTGACCCCGGATTAATAAAGAGACTAAGCCGAAAAGAAAATGACTGAATGAATGATGTGATACTGACTCTGGTTATGTTTAACAAGTGATGTGTTCATTATGTATCCTCTCTAAACCATGATCACAGACAGTGGAATGTTATTTATATTAATTAATCAATTACAAAACAAATGTTTTCAAAGATTTTTTTTAAAGTAATGTTTTCATTCTCACTCATTTTTTAATGTGCTAAAAGGTTCATGATCAAACATATTTGTTTGCTTGGGAAAACACACTGTGCTTTAGGTTTAAAGCTTGTATAATTGTCTTGTGCAGTCTGTTAGATTGTTTTGTAAAAGATTTTATAAATTTGACATCACATTTTTTATGCATCAGTGAGTATTTTCTATTGTTAGATTTGTAACATCGGATTACAATATCTGCAAAGTTAATTATTAATATACTGAATATCCTTGTATAATGTTATGAAAGAAAGGCCAAACATGTGCAAACATATCTGATTTGATCAGCATTTGAATTTACTGGACACAGTTTTGGGTGAATAATACTTTTGTACTGTGCTTTGTTTATTTCCACATAACATAAATGCAAATCAATTTGAATTAAACTCGATTTTTTTCTTCTTTGTCTTCCACTGCTTTTACGTTTAGTGTGAATGTTCATGTTAAGCTTCTGAAATTGTATATTTTTATGTTTTATAATGTAAATGTAGTGTAAGATTTACTCTTGTTCTCTGACTTTGAGGTTTAGAGGTGATGTGCTCATATCCCAACAACCCTGCATGTGTACAAAAGGTGGATTGTCGTTTTTTAACTACTATTTTAACTACTATAAATAATAGTAAAATAAAATTAAATGAATTACAAATGCCTATTTTTAACTGTATATGTGTCAGTGTGTTTTTCCTTTTGTTAGATTTTTTAACTTCTTATAATATCTGCAAAATCAAGTTTTAGTCATGTAAAAACCAAATCAAGATACACTCAAAAAATTGTATTTGCTGTCTGTTCAAACTACTTACTTCAATTGAGCTGAAACAACACAATTCTTGCTATTTTTTGGGACAACTTAATCGTTTTATGTTTAATCCACCTAAATTTGTAAGAGCTAATAACTTAACTCAATTCCTTTATGTTGTCCCGATACAAATCGATTGTGTGGAACCCAGAATTTTTTAAGTGTACACTCAAAAAATGACTTTTGCTGCTTGTTCAAACTATGTATTTAAAATGAGTTAAAACAACACAATTCTTACGTTTTTTTTGCAACAAGTAATTGTTTCATGTTCGACAAAAATTAAAATTGAAATTTGTAAAAATGATTAAGCTACCTTAATTGATTTGTGTTGGGACAACATGAGGGAATTGTGTGGAACCCAGCACTTTTACAGTGTAAATGCTGGGTTCCACTCAATTCATTTGTGTTGAGATAACATGAAGGAATTACATTAAATTATAAATGTTTACATTTTATTGAACACAAAACAATAACTGTAAGCTGTTGCAAATTATAAGAATTGTGTTGTTTCAACTCATTTTGAATACGTAGTTTAAACAAACAGCCAATGCCATGTTTTGAGTGCATGTCAACTGAATGAATAGGAAAATGTGACTGAGCACAAATTCACTTTACTCTTATAGAAATTCACAGTTTTTTCATTATGTTATAAAATAATTTACTAACATCTGGATTCAGTCAGCAGATTTTTTTTGGGTGAATTAAATTTTGTAATCAGGTTCTCAGATTCACGCAAATGTTCATATTACACTTTTTTCATATTACACAATTTCATTTTAAGGGCCTTTTTAAAACTAAGAGTGCAGCTCATGCACATGTCAACCTTGTCATGATAAAAATAAAAAAGCAAAAGCCTTCTTAAGTTGTTTGTGTAGGCTTGTATTTTACAGCACCTAGAAATGTCTGTGTCAACTACTTTATTTAACTTGCCAAGGTGCCAATTTCACATCTGACAAGTGCACAATAGAGAGATCTCACATCCATAACAAAGCATTATCCTTACACATGCAAAAATATCAAATAAAATATATATTCTTATCCATTTGATTAGAGGTATTTCTTTAGAGTTGTGCAGTTTAATTCACAGAATGTGAACTTGCACCCTTTTTCGGTTACATACATGTTTTTTTTTCCCTCATTTCAAATCTAAAACATGTTTAGAGACTCTAGTTGTTTTAGAAATATATAAACAGAAGTTCCAATATACCTTCAGCATATACAATCCCTGTAAATTTACATTTGAAATTTTCACTGTAAATGCCACATCCATGACGCTGGAATTGCTCAAGATTGACTCTCGTTCTCTGACTCTGCGTTTACCAAATGATGCACTCATATCGTAATATCTCTAAAGCGCGAGCACAAACAGTGGATTGTTACTTTGTATTATTCATCAGTGAAAGAAAAAAAAATCTTGTGATGCTTTCATTCTCTTGATTTCTCTTCAATGTGGTCATATATCTGATTTGTCTGTTTTGGTAGTCATGAACTATTATAATCAAATTGTTTACAGTGTTTTATAAAAGAATACATCTTGTCTGTTGTCTGTGCATCAGTGCATATTTCCTATTCTTAGATGTGTAACATCTAATTGTAATACCTGCAATGTAAATGATTAAGAAATGTAATCACTAAGGTTTTAACATTACTGAATGTACTTAATATGGTTTTGTTTAATTTATCTTAACTTAATAAGATGTATCATTTATTGCTAAATACACTTTTGAGGGAATATACAATAACAAACTAGTCTCAGTTAAACTTGATACAAAAACACAACATTTTCTAATAGGATAGATGCTTCTGTATACTGGCTATTAATTTTCAGGTTTTCAGATTTAAATACTAGGTATTAATTTTCTTTTTCCAGCTGTAATTTTTGCATAAAGAATTATCATCATATAAGGCATATATACAGTCTACAATGTTTTTATTAGGTTTACCGTATTGTTAAAACTTACCAATTCATTACTAAATTCAGGCTGTGGTGTAGACAATAAAGATCAACGATTCCAGACTTCTTGATAATAATGTGTGTTATCAGTCAGCATCTCTTATTGTGTGCTTATTTTAAATCCGAATAGCATATACTATTCGTTTATATAAGAATAATTACAATTTCTTTTTTTTGGTATACAAATACTGTCACACTTTACAATAAGGTTATATTAATTAATTTTAGTTAATGTCTTTTTTAATATGAACTAACAAAAAAATAATACTACACCATTTATTAATCAAAGTTCAACATTTGCATTATTAAAATCCCTAATCCATGCTTGTAAACATTAGTTAAAGGTGCAGTAGGTGATCTTCCACAATGCTAACAGCTTAGCATAAATCTCTGAATCACACTCCCTCCTCTGCCGTCTAGAGCCACGCCTCCTTAAACACGAGCACAGCAAAAGAACCCTTTCTCATGTGTTAAAAGCGACTAGTGCTTGTCCGGCGGCGTGCAAGCCAAACTGACATGGGATTTCAGAGTGAATATTAGAGTTGCATGGTAAACAATATGGGGAGAGACTAGTATGAAGGCGGAATAGCGGTATTTACTTGTGTTTTGTCGTTAAACTAATTAAAACCTACATTATCGATGCTGTAAAAGGTCCCTTATGAAACTGAAAATAGTCTTATCAATCTTTCATCTGAAGATTTTAGTGGCTGAACAACACTTCTGTGAAGATACAACCCATTTATAACAACAACATCCAACGTTACATCAGCTTTACATCACGTTAGCACTTTGAGTAAACGTGAACAAACAACAAGCGACCTTATTTCTACCTTATTAACTACCCATTTACCCATTTAACTAGACATTTGTTTTTGTTCCCTGCTAGTTTATCAAAGCACAATATGATGTTTCTATTATAGTATTTGTGTTAAAGTGTTTTTGTGAGATTTATATTACACGGGAATATTTAAAGATATTAATTCTTAAAACAATATAAAATGTTGGTACATTTGAATGATGTCTGTTTTAAATAAACCATGCACTGATTATTGTTTGTGCTTGACATTGTTAAATCTTTACTGTCAACAATCCTGGGGTGTCATTTATAAATGTGAGATATGCACAAAATGATTTAAATGTGCTTACAGAATTTTCCAAGCAAAAACAAAAATTGCTTGGAATTTTCCAAGCGAAAACAAAAATTTTCCAAGCAAAAACCATTTTTGATGGGAAAATGCATGCACTTATAAGTAAATTCCAGGTAAACATATATATCTTAAATACTGACTTAATTAAACCACTTTAAATAATCATTAATAAATGAATAGCATTTATTCTGGTGTAATAAATAACCCCAGGTTACATTAACATCGTATAAACTCACTTTAAATAAGCTGAACTAACTTTAATTTATGCATTTTACCAATTTTCTCATGCAGGATCACACGATTTGGAAACTGATTTAGGACTGAACCTGCCAAAAATCACTCCTGACCAATGCAGACAACTGGCTGGATAATTTCTCATCTGCTTTCCACCTAAAATATTTTTTCATATTTGTGAAATAAAATCTTAAATAGACAGAATGATTGTTCACTTACGTGCTGCATGCCTCAGGTACTGTTCGTCACTGTGAAATAATACTTGATTTTCAGTAAGTTCCTCGGTCAACCTTCATCTCTAAATACGACCTACGAGCACAGAAGGACATTACACTACATTGCAAATGATGATTTCTTATTTTGTACAATTAAACAGTGTGGTTGCAGTTTCCGTCCCTCGTAGAAGGAAAAGGGGAGAATCAGTTCAGTCTGAAATTGTGTTTACTGTATTATGATTGTTTTAACTAGGGCTGCACAATAAATCGGTTCAGCATCACAATGTGATCATTTTACAACAGTCATATCCAAGCATACACAATGTTGAGTCTGGATTATAATTGATCATTTGCCTGATTTTTTTGAGGCCTGAAATGGTACTGTTTGTAATTTTAATAACGATTAATTATTTACATTATACATTACATTATTATTTACATTATATATTACATTAATATTTACATTATACATTACATTATTATTTACATTATACATTACATTATTATTTACATTATACATTACATTATTTACATTTATACAAAGAAGACTACACAGTGTAATTTCACATTTAATTATACAATTACTGTTTACATGCATACTGTGTAGTGTAACATGAAAAAACACACACACACACACACACATTTGTATCTTTTCTTTATAGTGTATATACATTTGAAGTTAGAATTATTAGCTCCCTTTTGATTTTTTTTCTTTTTTCAAATATTTCCCAAATGATGTTTAACAGAGCAAGGAAATTTTCACAGTATGTCTGATAATATTTTTTCTTCTAGAGAAAGTCTTATTTGTTTTATTTCAGCAAGAATAAAAGCAGTTTTAATTTTTTTAAAAAACATTTTAAGGTTAAAAATTATTACAGAACAAACTATCATTTTATATGACTTGCCTAATTACCCTAACCTGCCTACTTAACCTAGTTAAGCCTTTAAATGTAACTTTAAGCTGAATTGAAGTGTCTTGAAAAATATCTAGTAAAATATTATTTACTGTCATCATGGCAAAGATAAAATAAATCAGTTTTTATAGATGAGTTATTAAAACTGTTATGTTTAGAAATCTTCTCTCTATCGAACAGAAATTTGGAAAAAAGTTAACAGGGGGGCTAATAAATCTGACTTCAACTGTATATATGTATATATATATATGCTTGTAGATTGTTTATTATGTTATATGAAGTCGCACTCTCTTACAGAATCATCCCAATCCAACTAAAATTAGATTAGATTAAATCTGATAAAACTGTATTTTTATCACAATATATATCGCAGAATAACAAAATATTGCAATGTTGTATTTTTCCAATATCATACAGCCCTAGTTTAAATGAAAAACAATATAATTTTAGAGGTAAAACTAACTAAAACTAAGTTTGTGTTTTAGGTGAGTGTATCTATGTTAATGGATCTAATGTATTGTGTCAGCTTTTCTTTTTCTGTTTACTGAGTCAAACTATTTCTCCACGTCTCTTGTTATAACTCTCTGGATGTTTTTCACCTGCCCACTCATTATAGTTTTCTTAATCATCAGTGTCTTTTGTTATTTATAGATTACATTGTATTGCAAAGTATGATTTAAGATTTGCACAATTAAACACATTTTGTGAACAAAATGGGTGATTTCTTAATTATTTCTCAACAGCAGTTTGAAATTTCACACGTTTTAAATGATAAATAATATAATTTCAGAGCTACTGAACTATAAATAATGCTGAATGAGTCTTTGACAACAAAATGTACTTGTTTTTTCCCCTGAATTAATTATCTAAAGAATATCTAAACATAATGTAATCTACAAAAAACATCTTCCCTTTCCATGCATATTTAAGCTTATAAGTACTACAATAAAATCATTTGTATATATACTAATCCGTTTAAATGAAATTAATGCATGTTCTGGTATACTGATGCAAGATTTTACCATTACTTTGCATTGAATCACATATTTTACTGTAAGGTCTTATGTTAACAACAATAAAATAACATTTATATGCCTGAGTAAGAATTAAATGAAGCAAAAACAGTTATTTGACGGTTTTTGATCATATATGTATTTATGCACACACACACACACACACACACACACACACACACACACACACACACACACACACACACACACACACACACACACACACACACACATACACACATATGTTTTTGTGAAAAGTGGGGACATTACATAGGTTTCCATTCATTTTATACTGTCCAAACCGTATATTGTATTGACCTCACCCCACCTCACCCCTAAACCCAACCATTACAGGTGACTTTGTGCAGCTTATACTCTCAGATTAAACTCATTCTGTAGGATTTATAAGCTTTTTGAGAAATGAGGACGTCACCAATGTCCTCATATTTTACCTCCTTTTTGTAATACCTGTGTCATACCTATGTCATTATGTCACAAAAACATGTACACACACACACACACACATACACACAGAGAGGGGCGAATTTATATTGGTGTGTTTTTTTTATATCACTCAATCTTCTTTTCAACATTTGAAATAATGCAGTTTTTACATTTTTAATGATTATTCATTCATTCATTCATTCATTCATTCATTTTCTTTTCGGCTTAGTCCCTTTATTAATGAATGAACCACCAACATGCAAACTCCACACAGAAATGCCAACTGACTCTGCCGAGGCTCGACCCAGCGACCTTCTTGCTGTGAGGTGACATCACTATCCACTGCGCCACCGCATTGCTCATTTTAAATAATTAGTTTTCTCAAAATGAACTTACAATTAAAAATAATATATTTTTTATAAATCTGACCCCTAGACTGTTCCATGATGGATATTTTATTCTGTGATATTGTTATTACTATTATCAGATAACAATACATTATTATAATATTATTATATTTGATTGTATATTAAATAATAATTACATTACAATTGTGTTTAACTGTCACAATACAAAATATGGTGGAAAACGATGCTACACATACACGCACGCACACATACCATTCACAAAGTAAGGCTGTCAAATTTCTAACATTTTGCTTTTAAATTATTTTGAATATTACATCTTTGTTCATCTTTCTATTGTCTGTATTTACAAATAAATGTTTTTTTTAAACATAAAACAATTTTAAGTGACTAAATGTGGTCAGATCTGTGTCTTTTCTGTCTGATATGAATAATTTATTCCAATATATCATGTTTCAAATGTTCCATATTTAATGTTTCTCAATGGCCAGAATTATGTGTGCTTTTAAAATGTTGATGGCATAATAAAAATTAAGGCTTGACAAGAACACTTAAATAACATTAAATAAACATTAAAGTTGTTCAACAGTATAGGCGTAGTAAAGTTTTGATGAACATATACAAGACAATTTGTTCCATCCTCTAAATGGCTGAAGAAAAATCTTAAAAATATGTTTTTGTGGATGCGACAAAGAGGTTAAAAAATTTGTTTTCTTTTTCTTTTAGTTAAGCTTAGCCTAGTAAAAGTAACTGTCTATATTGTCATATAAAAGGAGGTCTACATTGTGTTCGGAGTGTTTTGTGTGTGTTTATCTTTTTTAAAGATCTAAAAACTAAATCCACTAGATAAAATTTTTATTTTGTATAATGAGTCAAACTTTTTATTAACTTTCCTTGTTTTCTTAAACATCAACGTCTTTTTTTTTAATAAATGTTTTTTTTAAATAAACCAGTACTGGGAAGCACCCATACACACCCATTCACACACATACACTACGGCCAATTTAGTTAATTTAATTCACCTATACCGCATGTCTTTAGACTGTGAGGGAAACCGGAGCACCCAGAGAAAACCCACGCCAACACGGGGAGAACATGCAAACTCCACACAGAAATGCCAACTGACCCAGCCGGGACCCAAACCAGTGATCTTCTTGCTGTGAGGCAACAGTGCTAACCACTGAGCCACAGGGTCGCCCTTGCTCCATCCTATTTATTTATGTGTTCATTTACAAGTGTTGGATGGATCATTTAACCGGCTAAAATATTACTAGAATTAAATGTTTAATTTGTCAGCTTGTAAAAACATTTAAATGAGTGTGTTATCATGGCATATTAGAGTAAACTAGTTATGATTTTGTCACAGATGATTATCTTTAAAATATGACAATCTACACACACACACACACACATACACACACACACACACACACACATATATATATATATATATATATATATATATATATATGTGTGTGTGTGTGTGTGTAGATTGTCATATTTTAAAGATAATATTATTATGATATTTCAATCAATCACCTGTCAAATGTGTTTGTTGGTTTTATGATGTACTTTAGAGGATTTTTGTGTTGAAGATGAATAGAAGAATATGATCACAAGATTGTGATACAGTGTAAAACATCATTATAATATGACAAGATGTTCAAGCTCCTAACGGTTTGAACATGCTATATCGTAGAAGGTGTGGATTAAAGGTAATAATGATTTAATAAATTATTTTCATTTTTTTTGCACAGACCAATCATTTTGTTTCATGAGACCTTACCTCAAGTATCCGCAAAGTATCATCAGAAGCCAAGGGCATTCACTTTGTTTACCCTATATGTTGTTTTAACTCTCCAAGTGTAATTTGAGAAGACATAGACTTGAATTTTATGAATTATGAACCCGTTTCAGCTAAAACATCTTTAATGTTCGACTGAGGAATCAGAAGTCATGTTGTTATCTTGGATATCTTCTCGTCTTTAGTGAGAGTAAACTAACGTTTCATTTCACTTTTAACTAGCTACCTTATATTAACAAGGGAATAATTATTGTAAATTGTTAGCAAACAAGACATTCAGTAATACATTTAATCAAGTAATCAAGGTAATACATTTGTTAGGCTTTCTTCTAAAATGTGCAGTTTGATATGTGCCATTCATTTCAGTGACATCGTGACTCTTTCCTGACGTTTACTGGAACGAATTCACAAACGGTAAATATCTAAGTCTGTATGTAATTGTTCCTTTGACAACACGTGACTCTGACAATTATACAATATATTTACCTTTCAAAATACCAACCATTCAAATCGTCCACATCTCTTACACTAATACTTCATAGTTCATACACACCTTGACTCTCGGGTCTCCCGATAACATGAGATACGAGTGGGCGGAAACCTGCTGATGAACACGCAGAACTTATATCCAATCAGAAAGCAGTGATGGAGAAGTACGTAATCAACACGGAAGCGGATGTGTTTGAATCCTGCACACCGACGAGCCTACAGCGTGTAGCATCCCGGCTACTTGTTCTGCAGAATCTGTCTAAACACTTGTGATTATTCGTGTGTGACACACAAAAGTACCTTGATTCTGCTGTCATGGAACCGTTTGCAGATGCGCTGTTCTGGGTCGGGGCTGTGACTGTGCTCTGGCTGTCGGTGAGCTCTCTGTGGAGTCTGATCAACGGGATTCGAGTGTGGATTTTGGGCAATGGAAATCTGATGAGGGCGAGCAGTCTCGGCAAATGGGCAGGTTAGTAAACAAGCACTGCACTGACAGAGGTCATGGACACTTTCACTGTTCAGGAAAGCCAGTTTCTGTGTATCAGTATGGTAACATAATCGTTTCCGTCTGTCGTGATGAGGGCCGGAGTTTTCTTTTCTTAAACTTTTGGCACATGACTTTAATTGGTACTCCTTTAATCCGATTGTCTTGTCCACCTTCCGATAATACAACTTCCGGGTCCTCTGCTGCTGTGCTTGCTTTAGCAGGCAGTGGAGAGACAACAGAAAGTCTTTAAATTGTCCTCCACGAGCCTCCTATCTAATTGAGTTGAAGTTAGTTTTGTATTCACGCATTAGGACTTACGTCTCAATAATTTCAGAAATTATTCTTTGCAAATTCCAAGTCGTGAGATCGCTAGCAGCCAACGACCATCAAAGTACAACATTGTTTAGTCAAATAAATAGTGCTAATGTTGTTTTGAAATCATTCTTGCATGTGATTTCTTTCATTCATTCATTCATTCATTCATTCATCCCTTCATTCTTTCATTCATTTTTCCTTCGGCTTAGTCCCTTATTTATCAGGGGTTTCCACATTTGAATGAACCGCCAACTTATCCAGCATATGTTTTAAGCAGCAGTTGCAATTCCAGCCACAAACATGGAAACATCCATACACACTCATTCACATACATGCATTACACCCAATGGGGAAATTGGAGCACCCAGAGGAAACCCACACCAACATGGGGAGAACATGCAAACTCTACACAGAACTGTCAACTGGCATAGCCAGGACTCGAACCAACGAGGTGAGGTGTGAGGTGACAGTGCTGCACACTGAGCCATTATGTCACCTACAGTACATGTGATTACTGACCTAATATTCAGAGTACCCATGATAAACAATATATGGAGCATGTCTCAAGTTGTCTCTGAAGCAATGTGCGAATATAAAACCAACTTTACCTCAATTCTCATCTAATGAGTTTTTAGTTTAATCTGCAAGGACTTTAAAAAGTGATTATATTGCTTTACTTAAAGTAAGTAAACCCGTTGCCTTAATTTTTAAGTAAATGAATTATGTGTATTAGAGCTGCACAATATTGGAAAAATGTAATATTGCAATTTTTTTCTGTTATATGAATACAGGTACACAAAATAGTTTGAATGGCACTATTTGATGTTTTTTTTATTTAGTCTAACAGTATTCAGGTACAAAAATTAAGTAATCGCAAACCCAAAAATCAAGTGTAAATGTTTTGTTTTATACTTGAGAAGAAGCAAGTCAAAATTAAGAGTTTTTCTTAAAACAACTGCCAATAGAGTAATTAAACTAATCTTGCTTTTGCTTTCAAATGTTGATATTTGGACTAGAAGTAAGACAAAAATTCTAAATAAGATTTTTTTTATTTTTATGATTTTTATTTGTTGCATAAGTCATGCGTTCTGTATAAATACACAAATGAAATACAACTCTGTAGCTTCTGGTCAATTATAATTTAAACTCAACTTTGCATATCTTGTGATGTGACTATTATGGGTGCGCACATTGTGATATCGATGCTGAATTGATAATATGTGCATTATTATATATATAAAAAGGTTAAGTCAACTTTACCATTCCAAGTTACAATGCATTTACTCACTTTTTGAAGTAAAGTAACTAACCACATTTTACCTCAGTGTTTGAGGCTTAAGCCTGATTTATACTTCTGCGTCAGGTGACCGGCGTAACCCACGGCGCAGGCAACGCGCGTGGCTGTGCATTTATACTTCTGCGCGCTGTCTCCGTCGGTCTGCATTAACACTTCCGAAACGCTAGTTGACAGTGATGTGTAAATGTTCCTCTGTGTCGAGTTTCTTCTCTGCTTTTTTGATTTTCCTGAACACTTCCGGGATGTACAAGTGGCTCAAACTCGCTCATTTTGAGGCAGGAACCGGCGGACGTGCAACAACTTTAAATATAAGGTAAACACAAAACAAAACTTTCCATCCGGAGCTCCTTCACGGGACTCCACTCTTGTAAACAATCGCTCGCGCCATTCGCGCGGCTCTCGGTCCCGCCCAAACTCGTCAGCGCTACCAAGCCGACCAATCACAGAGCTTACGCTATGCGTCGTTGCGACGTGTAGTTACAATTTTTGAGAGGTGCACGTCAGTGACGGCGATGGCCACAGTGAAGGGCTATGCGTCAGCGCCGTAGCATACGCCGGCGTTTGACGCAGAAGTATAAATCAGGCTTTAATGATGTGTGGTAAAGACAACATTAAGTCAAAAGCGCAGGTATATGCCAGCATACTCTTTAGTTTCAATTGAAACTTTATTTTTATTATTCAATTTATTACAACATTTGTGTCACATATTGTGCTTGGAGGACTTTATAACAATGAATGGAAATGATTTGAGTGCAACCGATGGGATTGGAACATTTTGAAAAAAAAAAAAAATAGTTTGAGTACATTACCATGGTTCTGCTAAGAAATCTCCACAAGTCAGAGTGAACATTAAACCAAACATTAAACTAAGCTCACAAATACCACTCTGTAGCAGGCTAGCAGCTCTTGGAGGGCTCGTAGCACAACCTTTTTACTCTCTCAAAAATGTGCACTTTCTGTCTGTACTGCTCATGTTATTATTATTTTTTAAATACATTTTTATTTATTTTTTCCTTACTTTTAATGGTTAACTAAAATATGAATTGTAGACCATACCAGAGAAGTAGGTTGTACTTTTTATTTTCTAAATTCCGTTTTATTACTGTTAAAATGTAAAAGAAATGGTAGAACAATTGTGGTTATTCCCTGAAATAAGAAACCCTGTTTTCCTGAAAGTATTTATTTTTATGTTACCTTTATTTATTTTACTATTAGTGGGATTTGTTCTGAGTATCTGAGTAAAAGATATGATGATAGCTTCTCTTACATATAATGTAAAATTCTTGCAAAGTGACTTTGCCTTTTTAATTGCACAGTGACGCTGTGTTCATATACTCGAGTATTGAGATAAAAGTCTGTAGATGATGAAAACGCTACAAGCCTTGTGTATTTAAGAGTGCATGTAGTAAATGAAATATTTTATGTGATTAAATATTCACATACCCCGAATCATGATTTTTATTATGTGTTTGGGGTTGGTTTTGATTTTTAAATACTGTCAACTTTTAATTGATGTGACATTCAGCATTGTACAGCTAATTCAGCTAATAATAATGTTTGTGATTGGAATAGGTGATTTGATTGGCATTTTCATGATGTGGCTGTCTTTTGGCCTTGTATCTGGCCAAAATGTTTGTTGCTTTTGATTATAACACTTTTAAAGGTACTTTATTTTCAAAAGTAAAGTCTCTTAAAAAATGAATGGGACTGAAAAACATGAAAGAATCTTGTTGCATTTATGGCCCTGTCTTGCAGCATCAAACACACTTTTATTTGCTACTTGTTTACTTTATTTATTTATTTATTTTATTTATTATACTTTAGTATCTCTGTAGATAGTTTGGTGTAAATATGGAGAATATCATACATACACAAAATCAAGTGTCTCATTGCATGTAGATCTTAGCTGACGTGTACTATGACAGAAGTTGATGGTGACGAGGATGTTAACCAGTGGACTTTCTGCCGTTGGTTATTTAGCTCAGGAAGGGGAGTGATCTTCACACTGCAGTCTATTTGCCTTATTGGTAGACTTATGACCATGGCCTTATCACGTGTGAAGTTTCAAAAGTTCATCATCTTTAGACCAGTCACCCTATAGACATGATTTCCATTGCAGATTTTGACATAAGTTCATATCTAATCCAATGGCTTCTGTTGTTTGTTTATAATTGTTTGACCATGCACACGGCGATCCTTTGTCATAGATAAACTTCATTTGTAAAAAAAGTTTCTTAGTTAGGACTGATGCAAAAATGTGATTAGTTTGTTTTAGACCAGCATAAAAGAGTGCTTCTCCCTGTATGACTTTAAAGACTAGCCCAAATTGGCTAAACATTTTCAGAAATACTTGCTGTATGCTAATTAGCAACAGAAGTTATATTTGTACATATTAACCTTTAGTAAAACAATACCTTGTTAAATATTTACCGTTTAACTATCCATTTCAAACTTACTGATTGTGTGTTTTTACAATTTGAAATATTTAATTTTAAAAGTAGTTTAATATGTTACAGATTTTTTTATTCCTTCACAACAAAGTTCATGTCTTCTTAAATATAATTTACCCTAGAAGTTAACATAAATAGCATGGAATAAAAACTGATGTTTAAATTTGTCCTAAGATTGAGATCACTGCTTGACTGATGCTTTCAATTAAATTAAATTGGTAATTAATTACTAAAAAAGAAAACTACATTTTGAAATTTTCATTTCAACATTTTTTTTATTAAATGAAAAAAGGTTATTTTGGGTTTTAAGCTTTAACATCATTTAAAAAAAATGCTGATTGTGTTTTTGCCATTCTTCCTTCATTAGGCTGTGTAACAGCAGCTAAACGGCATTTATGGTATAGCTGTACTTAAAGGGCCATGAAACCCCCTCGTTTCAGCAGGGTGTTTTCACACCTCTACTTTGGAAAAAGTCAGAAAAGTGGGCGTGTCCAGCTCTGTTTAGGGGGGAGTGTCGGAGGAAGAAAATAGGCTTGGTGTGGGAGTGTCTATTTGGGCGCGCTGAATTTCAGAGTCAAAGCACACTACCACAGCGGACAATGTGACTGTGTTTACATGGACATCTGTAGTCGAATTATTTGCCAAATTATTAAATGGTTTTAAGGCTTTAACTGCAGTTTGGCTCTTTCATTCAGGGAATTCATTCATGTCCCTCCCGACAAACGTGATATTTGATTCGAGGAGCTGCTCTAACCATGTATATTTCATGCAATGTTTGATACCACACGGCGAATGAGAGAAAAAAAACTCAGCATTTCCCGGAAACTTAGATGCACACGGCAGGTAGCGTCAGAAAGCCGCGTGTGTTATTCCGGTCACAAAATCCAACACGAGGTTATAGTTTGGTTGTAACTGTTAGT